ATATCAGTGAATTGCAGTACTCAAACGAACAACAGAAAAACATGTCTTTGATTCTGAGTGGAAATACTACAAGTACGTCTATAGAAAAAAGGCCAGTTTACAAAGTGCAGTGGGCACCGAGTGCCGTGAATCTTCATTCATGAAAAGTTCTAGTTTCCCTGCAGCATRTCCATTCAGTGGAGCAGTTTTTCAATGAGGACAGTTTGACATGACAATAAAAACTTTAAACAAGTCGCAGACTTTCACCGATAACTCATTCAAATCAACAGAGTCAACACATTGCCTCATGACGCATCAAGCGTGTGTTTCAATCTTCGAGACGAAGACAGCCCTCCGCTTTGACAAACTAAGTTTATGAGACTTCATTGACCACTGATTTTGGTTGCTTATTTCGTTTTTTTCTAAAGAACAGTTTCATATTTGGTTTAGAATTTAATCGTTTTGCTATTTACTTTGTACCAGATATGTTTTTTGATTTAAATAGTGATATTTTTACATGTAGCAAGCTTTTAGCTTTTCGGAGGACAATTTTAAAATACAGCAGTTTTGTATTTTTTTAGAGAACCCATTAAAGGTGAATAAATAAAAACAACAAAATCTCAGTATGTATAAAATAAATAAATTACAGCATGGAAAGCGCTTTGTACGGGATTTTCCAACTCGTTGGTTTTGTAACTGAAATCTCACTCGTTCGCTTCGCTCACTCGTTCGATTTCAGAGAGATACTTCACCAACTCGTGCGAAAATCCCTTACGCGCGCGCTTTCCATGAAGTAATCTCTATTTTCTAATGAGTAATTAACAGTTGTTCCACAAGCTCGAGTCGTACATTTTACACTTAATGCCTGGTCGTGAGGGAAATAGTAAATTTTTTCCCCGACAGTCTAGATGCTTCCCGAGGCAAATCCAATGGAAATATCGAGACTCTCGGGGGAAAAAACTAACGCGTGCGTGCAATTTGATGACGCACGGTAGTGGGGTTAGGCAAAATTTCAACTGCATCCGGTTGCTAAAAATAGCCCAATCGGGAATTTACTTGGCGTGCGCGTTATTACTAAGTTTCCCACACTCCTTATGCTCTCTTGCTATCAGTCATTTCCTGGTCAGTGTCTTGATGCGTTTCTTGATGCTTGCATATCTTGATAATAATATATATTTGATTCAGTATCCTGCAACTCATAACGTGCCCAAATATGACGGTCTAATTTGCGAWGCCCGCGCCGTTCAGACTGGGCATTSGTGCAATGTACCTCGAAGGGGACCCTGAGTTCTATTGGACAGCAGCAGAACACGGGCAAAATCTTATATAAAATAATAAAAAAACCCTTAATCTTTATACAAAACTGACAAATTCAAGGTCAAAATGACGGGACTTTTTTTCATGTTATAAATATTTTAACATTTCTACATAAAATAACCAAAATAACCAAAGAAAAGAAAGAAAGAAAGGAAAAAAAAAAAAAAAAAGAAAGAAAGAAATTTGAGTGTCCATTGTGAAAACCTAAAGCATAACAACATGAACATTTGAACTTTGTTCAAAAAATTGCCTATTTTTCTACAAACTAGGGATAAAAGGTGGGGGTCTGGGACCGAGTTTAAAAAATCAGAGGCAAATGTAAACGACACTTCTGCTATTATCACGGTAGTTAACATGGTATTGCCGTAACTGTCGGTATTGCGTTTTGACCGAGCGATTGCTTGCTTGAATAAGTAGGTCTTTGTAATTTACAGAGTTTCCTGATTGCCTACTTCTGACGACTGAGTGATGAAACACAAATGACGATAGCATGACTACATCGATGACAAGAGTTTATCATCCGTTTATTCTAAACTATGCATATGAAATTTTACAATTAAGTGTTAGATCATGCACGAGACACAAAGAGTCTTTAATTAATCATGAGGGGCTTATTTTTCCCCTGCATGATGTCCATGACGTCTACTAAATCTCATGTTATCTTCGGGTTACAATGTAATTGGTTGTTGAAAGATATATATTTTTATAAGAATCTATATGTTCAATTACAATTTTACTTTATAAGCGAAATCATGGAATATAAAGAATAACAGACGTCTTTTAAATAGCATAATTTCCCAAACAAAGTTTTAACAAAGGCTTGCCTAAACTTTGATGACTTAGATAAAATGTAAGCTGAACTCGCATCGTTGAAATGTGAGGCTTTACAATACAATGCCGATGTAGACAGTTAGCAAAATAAGGTGTTGCTAATGGTAACGACTTGAGTTTAAAAGGAGTGATCCCATTCAAACCAAAGTCAGAGTTTCAGCTTATTTCGTTGCTTGCCAGTCTGCGTTATTTATCTATTTACCTATTGATTCATTGATTGAATGACTGACTGACTGACTGACTGATTGATTGATTGATTGATTTTATTATTGTTTTGTTTTGTTTTTGTTTTGTTAAATAGAGATAAGGGAAAGGTTGGGAAAAACTAAATAATCTAACGCTTCCAGCGGTCCCAATTCCTTACGTTTGCACCACAGACCGACAAGCATCGCAGTCGGCTATTAATAAATCGATTAATATAAAGATTACTACTAAAAAATACAATAAATAGCCTGCAGGCCGACGTTCCCGCCAAAATGCTTATCTACTTGTGTAGATAATGTTCGATGGAACATGAGGCGGCGCTAAAGTCAGTAAAGTGCAACTACCCTGCGTGCTTTTATATCATACTTAGATGTATTTACTAAAAGTAAGAAAAGGCTTGTTTCCATTAAACAGTAGTCTTGTACTGTACTAGTAAGAAGGTCAGTCTACTTCACTAGAATGTACCCTACAGCAGCAACAGCTTTGTTTCCATTATTACAATAATGCTCACATCGGTTCCCACAAGACACTCCGAAGCTTCCCCCATAGCCCAGAAAGCTGTCAGTGCTTCTACAGTTGTTTTCGTTGTTGGAAATTACTCCTATGCGCACTTTATTCAAATTAAATCCCTCCTTGTTGCAAGAGGATTGCATTGATGAACCTGCAATCAAAGATTGCCATTTTGATTTACCAAGCAAATTAACCGCCCTTTCGCTTCCGTCCGCAATGACGTCATATAGTGAATTTGCCGTGTAAGTGATAGTTGCAAAGTTTGTCACACCATTCACAGTGAACCCCACACATATTGCACTGAAAGACACTCCCCAGAAGCTCGGCATCTTTGTCTCCATGGAATCAAAACCAGTTTTACCTGCTGTCAGGTTGTAAGCAACCTTATTTGACCAGTACGATGAGCTGCGTCTGAAAGTATTCTGAAAATTTAAAAACAATATTTGTTTATTAAGGTTGGTGCTTACTAATTGCGAACCATTTTTATTTTTTTCAAATTGTGGCAGTCATTTAAATCACCCAAGATGCCACTAGAATCCGAAAAAAAAAATTGGGGGTACCCGCGCATCTAAACGAGATAATTGATGTTAAACACCGATGACGTAAGCACGTTTTTACGCAAGGGGAAAAAATCATATTACGAAATTGTTAACGTTTTGATCGATTTTATCTGAAACTTGTTTCAAATAAACGACTATTTGTGCTCTTTATATCAAATATATAAACTTTTATGTATCATATAAGAAACCATTTTTTTAACCAAATTTTGCCTTCAAAAGTGTAAAATATGTTTCTAAAGGGATGCTACATTTTTGCTTACATTTGCAACCAAAACCATTTTTATTTTAAAGATTCTATTATGAAAAATAATTGAACTATTTCTGTTACATTTTGGACGAAAAAAAAATGGGAGTTACCCACGCGTTTTAAAAAGTTATGATTTTTTAAAATATTTTTTTTGAGGATAAATCGGGTGCTAAAAGCGTGACAAGAGTGACGCGGCGTTACGAAACAGCGTGACTCGCTCTGCTTTTGGCGTGTTTGCAGCGGCTACTTCATCTCTTCGTGGTTTTACAAACAGGAGAAAAACTGAAAAAAGCGATATTTCAAGCCTTCAAAGTACCAGTAAACTTATTCAATTCGAAGAACAATAATAAATAATTATTTCCTGTGTAGAAGAAAAGATTTCCTTAAGCAAATGGTACGTAATTTTTTTTTTTTGAAGTCGGAAAAAGAACGGCTTTTCATGAATGTTTCAGGGCAGTCGTGCATGCAAAGCTAAGCCAGGCAAAAGGTTTCGTAAAATACAAACCTACATTTAGTTTATAATAAGAATAATAATAATTTAATCACTTATTGTGCGAGCATTCCATACAATGATCATGCGCGCATTACAATAATAATATAATATATATATAACTATATAACTATTTACAAATAAGATGAATAAATATATTGATGAATACTAATGAAAAAAACTATCAAAATGCTAATTTAAAAAGGTGGGTTTTAAGATGGCGATTAAACAAACTAACATCTTTAATGGGGCGAAGGTCTGCGGGAAGTGCGTTCCAGAGAACGGGTGCCGCCATAGTTTAACTTCACAAGTGCAAGAGACAGATTTAATAAATCAAAATAATAATTTTCTTTGTCAGTATGCTCTTTGCGTGAATATTTTTTGAGTGAGTGAAAGACAGTTTATGTAAATACGAGGTGTTCCAACGACAAAAGTTTATTTTATGTAATTGTACTTGCAGGAAAAGCTAAATGAATAGCTGATATTTGGTGTAATGTGTAATTCCTTTTCAATTTTCATTTAACTTTAAAACAAACTAAGCTTATCTGTATAGAAATATTGAAAAAGTTATTTTATTATTCACCGATCCGAGGCAATCGAAACCGTCTTTTCTAGAAAATGAAAAAAAAAAATGATATTTCGCCAAAAACACCTGAATTCTTGAAGATGACTCTGTTATACACCTTTAACTACATAAATAATAGTTATTGCTGTTGTTCTTGGCCTTAATGTTTTGCAAGGCCAACGTCATCTGTACCTTTGAGTGTTTTGATTTTGAAACCCGGCCCGCGGGAATCCCTCGATGCAGATRCGCAGTAAGTGTGCGCGCTGTCAATAGTAGGCACCAACCTTAAATGCTCGCAAATATTTATCTTCAGCTTTGCATATAGTACGCTCGCTCTCACTAGCTAAATCACTCCCAAAATCTATGGTCTATTTCACATTTAGAAACAAGGTTTTTGATTTTTTTAAATATAACAACCTTTCCATTTTTGACGTATTTTTAACCTGACTTTGATATTAGCGGAGCTCCCACGCGTGCCAAAGTCCCGCGCGAAAAATAGCACCATACTTAAGAAAAAATGATGACGTCACTTCCATCCGTCCGTCCGTACGTACGTACGTCCGTGTACACGGGAATCCCGCTTGATGTCAAAGCAAAACTACTCGCAAATGCAGCTCTCAAATGCACAGAAAAAGTTTAGGGCAATGGAAGTTATAGACCAAAAACAATTAAAATAAACTTTCATGTAGTCAAAGATGGATCAAGAAGTGTTCTTCAAGTCAATTCAGGTGTGTGTTTCTTAGAAAACGATCGTATATTATTATTTTTTGACAAGCATTTTTCTCGACGAATCGCCAAATCAAATACTTTCTCTCAAAACCTTTAATATTTCTATAGATAAGCTTAATTTATTTTAATGCTGGAGGAAATACAACACGGAGAGCATATTACGACAACAAATATTTGTCTTTTATTTAGCTTTGTAAATCTTTAACAATTCGGTTGTTTTTAAACAACTATCGTATGTTTTTCGTTTAGTACTGTTTAAAAAACGAGCAGGAGTGTTTTATCGGGTATAAAACACGAGACGTAGCCGAGTGGTTTTAGACCCGATAAAACACGATCTGCGAGTTTATTATAATTAAACGGCTTAGAAAACTCATGATGTATGTTCTCATATGGTACAGAATTCGTTACGAAATGAACCAAGTTTGATAGAGAAAATCCAAGTTAAAGTTTATGAAAATGAAGACGAATCTATATCAGATATAAAATCACCTTCATGGTCATGATTTCTATTGAATTTTCGCCATGAATTATTAATGAGTTTTCTAAGAAAAGTGCAGCTTTGTTCGCCTCCCATCGCGGGGTCCCATTGGCAAACCAAAGAAGTATTTCATTCAATAATTTTACATCTTTCTACAGATAATTCATTTAAATTTTGATTTAAATATCGATTTATACCAAATATCCAACTGTGTATTAAGGTGGCTCGACCCCCTCACGCTTGACCGCTACCTTCCACTTTTGGAACGCTAGTGCATAAACGTCTTTTATCCGATTGCAAATCTTTTTCGCACATAAGTCACATAAGGATTGAATTAATATTTCATGCAGTTTTTTATGAGATCGGACGTCATAACACGTGATTATGATGAAATATTTGTCTTCGTTTAGAAAATAATT